TAGTTGAAAGTTTACTATTTTTAGTCATTTCTGAAGTCCTAACTACGTTCTTAAAGTCGTTCCCTGAGATTGCACACCAGAACTCCTCACCATGACATATAGAACTCAATAAAACGTATCAGACAGATACTGCCTGCTGTCACTGCAGCACTCACAGTGAAGGGGACACATTGGAATAAGTCCTTCTCCGCCACCAGGTCAGTGAAGAGGCTCCTGTTTCCGCTGGCAGACTCCAATGAAGCACTGAGAGTCACTGTCTCGTTCAGGTGGCTCAGAAGGACACAGCCCTTCTCAGGGGTCTCGGTGTGCAGCAGGGAGGGGACCAGCACCATGTACCGCCTGGGAAAGGAAGAAGCCTAGCTTAGAGAAAAACTGATGACAGTAAGCGTTTTCATCCATAAGTGTGTTTTCATAACAATATGTATGAATTGCTGCAATCAGCCTTATTCTAAAAGTCAATGAACTAAGAACAATACCATGGTGTTTCTGTCACAGATCAGCACAAGAATTATATCTTTTACTCATCGCTCATGCCTCGCCACACAGTCTGGGGCCACGAAACACCGGAGAGTGCTTTCCGAGATGTGACAGTTTCACAGCCATTCCTTGCTTTAAAGAGCAATCCGAACTCTTTAAACTTCAGCTTTGAACTTTAAAAAGTTTCTGAATTCTTGAATATATATCCATAAAAGTGGGTGGACACACAGACACACCCACACATATAATAAATTGGGAGTGATTATTCATTTTAAAAAAGGCTTACATTAAAATCTGTCTAGATAAACATCACTTTGGAATGAACACCATGAATTTAGATTTACACAAATTCAATTGAAAGAGCTTCAGTAAGCATATGCCATTACCCAAAATAACACATGTGTATATTGCAAAATCATTTTCTTAATATCAGCAACACTGAAAAAAGTATTTGCTGTTTCTCTGAGGCTCCTCAGATACAGCTCAGTCAAAATCAATATTTTATCAACAAGTTTGAAAATTTTGTCAATTATTTACATGCACAACTCCCCCACCCAACACGCTACACAAACACAGACTGTATTTTATCACTTCCCTTTATCCACAATTTCTTGGGGTAATCAACATAATAATTTAATATTAATATGCCCATGTTCGTAAATATATTATTGTTTCAGAATCACATGGGTGAACAGGTTATCTTTTAAATTTAAAAACAAAACAGGCCCAGGCTGACAGCAGAGCAGCGGCTTACACCTGTGATCCCAGCACTTTGGGAGGCTGAATCAGGAGAGTCACTCAAGGCTAGGAGTTTGAGAACAGCCTGGGAAAAGTTGTGAGACCCTCGTCACTACAAAAAATAAAATTAAAACATTTAGCCAGGTGTGGTCATGTAATGGTGCATGCCTGTAGTCCCAGCTACTCAGGAGGCTGAGGCGGAAGGGTCATTTAAGCCCAGGAGGTCGAGGCTACCGTGAGCTATGACTGCACCACTGCGCTGCAGCCTGGGTGACAGAGTGAGGCTCTGTCTCTTAAAAAGTTTGTATAAGTACTATGAGCACATATTATTTTGAAAAGTCTTTTTTATTTAACTTGTTGAATGTTTTCAGTTTTTCAGGGGCACAGGCAGCTTCTTGTGTAAGCCTCATATTCTTGCCTCAGCTTTATTGATGAGTGTCCTTTGTCTCTAATGCCGTCCGCTCACAGCTTCCGGTCACCTTCCGTAAACATTGAACTCAATATAATCTCTCCACACTCTAAACTCTCATGGGCTGAAAGAGAATATGTTTTTGTTGTTGCTGTTTTTGAGTATCTGCCACACAACGAGGATTGTTAAGCAGCTCCTGTATTGAGCCATTTAATCTTCCAAGCAAGCTGTAAGCTGCATGCATGACACAATCATCCATGTTCGTGGAAGCTGTCACAGGAGATCCTCATCAGTCCCCAAAACTTGAATAAATAACAGAAGGATAAAATCCCTGCCCCCATGGCAAATCAGTATATCATGCATAAAATGCGACTCCTCAAAGCTGTAACGATTCCAGGATTAATGATGCAACACCTGCGGGGTTAAGCCATTTCTAGAGTAAATTCACAAGTAAAAACGATGATTTTCTTATATTATTTTACTAGCCTTACCTTTCCATTGCCAACATAAACTCTTACATTTTAAATTGTTTTCTGGACAGGCACTTCGACACAAGAAACCCAATTTTGTTACTTTACAAAATTAATAGGTGTGAGACTAGGAGGTGAGAATCTAAAGATAATTGACTTGTGGAACCTGGAACCCAAGTTGGTTCTCTCATCCTCACGTAGCCTGCTGTAGCACACCAGCCTTGCTGCATGTGTTTTAATGTGTCCCTGGGCAAAACTGTCCGCCATGACTCTCTGGAGCCACTCTTAAATCATTAAAGTTTCAGGTTATTTTACTGTATGCGTGGTAAGGCTGTGTTCTCTAACAGAGATGCTGAGGGCAGTTAAATAACTTGCCCGTCTTCATTCGGCTAGTCCCTTTTGTCTAAACTTTTTCTGGTATCTGGATGATTCCGATCCCCTGATCACTGCTCTTTTAAGGACATGATAAACAATAAACATGTATCGTATTTTACCTCCCCATTCAAAAATTTTTTCATTAGTTCTTTGATCCCAAGAAGGCATATATATAAATATATATATAAATATATGCCTAAATATATAAATATTTATTTATATATATTATTTATATATATTTATATATATTATTTATATGTATTTATATATATTATATATCATATATATAATATATATATCTATATATTATATATTTTTAATATATTTTGTTTAATATATTTTTTATTTAATACTACTTTTTTCTTATAAATTATAAGCCTAAATGGTATCACAATTCAAAATTAATTCCACATATATTTGATATTTCAAAGAACTATTTAATACGAGTTCAGTTAATATTTATTTAATAATTATTGAAATTGGAACA